GCAGCCGGTTGAGAATTGTGGCTGTTCTTGCCTAAATCACATCATCCCTTCGTGATCCGCTAAAATCTGGTCGAGCTCTGTTTATTACCAGTGTGCCCAGGTGGCCAACAGCATCCTGGCTTCTATCAGAAACAGTGTGGCCAGCAGGAGTAGGGAAGTGATTGTGCCCCTGTATTCTGCACTGGTGAAACTGCATCTTGAGTAATGTGTTTGGTTTTGGGCCCCTCACTACAAGAAGGACATTGAGTGTGTCCAGAGAAGGGCAATGAAGCTGGCAAAGGGTTTAGAGCACAAGAATTATGAGGAGTGGCTGAGGGAGCTTGGGGTTGTTTAATTTGGAGAAGGGGAGGCTGAGGGGAGACCTTATTGCTCTTTACAACTACCTTAAAGGGGGGCGTAGAGAGGTGAGGATTGGTCTCTTCTTCCGTGTAACCAGTGACAGGACAAGAGGAAATGGCCTCAAGTTGTGCCAGGGAAGGTTTAGATTGGATATTGGGAAAAACTTATTTATTGAAAGAGTGGTCAAATATTGTAACAGACTGCCCAGGGAGGTGGTGGAGTCACCATCCCTGGAGGTGTTCAAAAACCGTGTGGATGTGGCACTTCAGGTCATGGTTTAGTGGGCATGGTGGGGTTGGGTTGACGGTTGGACTTGATGATCTTAGAGGTCTCTTCCAACCTTAATGATTCTGTGATTCTATGATCTGGTGCTGCACTGGGAATGTAGAGGCTCCTTTGTGGATTGCTCTGGTAGTGATCTTCCTCGCAGTCCCACCAAGGGATTTGACATAAACAGGTTAAGATATCTGTCTGCTTCAAAACTAAATACAGTGCAAAATATGAAACTAATTATAGTGGCTTGACTTCTCTCACTTGCATCTGTGTTACTTCCTTTTCTAGAAATGGATTCTGAAGCCCTTAAAAAATACTCAGCATTACATCCTAAACCGGCTGGACTTACTCTTCAGTATGGCACCGCTGGATTTCGCACCAAGGCCGAACAGCTCGATCATGTCATGTTCCGCATGGGCTTGCTGGCGGTCCTCAGGTCCAAAGCTGTGGCAGCCACTATTGGTATCATGGTTACGGCATCTCACAATCCTGAAGTAAGAGCAACCTTTTCTTTAAAGAGAAAGTAGATGTGGTCAGTCTGGTGGAATCACAGCTCTTCATGGTACTGAGAGATCGGATCCTGGCAGATCAGAAGGCACTTGGACCTGCTTAAAGCACGTGTTTAGCCTGCTCCCTGCCTGTAAATATGATGTCTGTCACGTTTGAAGTTACTTTTCCCCATACATAGGAGCATCATTTTATCTCATGTGGAAATGCAGTAATGTAGGAAATTTGTAACACTGACGTGTGATGAGTGCCCTTGAGAAGAGATGAACATTTTGAGTAAAATCTGCTAGCTTAAAAAATAGAGATGCAGCAATTACAAATCAGGCATTTGGACTTCTGCTGCTGTGGAGCATTCCAGATTATTAGAATCTCCCCTTGTGTCATTTCAATGTCACGTGAATTTCCTACCAAAATTATAAGGGGGAGAAAAGTTGGTTACTTAATATGCTGTTTACGCTATTTTTGGGGGCTTGCTGGAATTTTAAATAAACAGCTAAGCTATTGCTTCCCACAGATGCTTCACATTTCAAGAAGCAATGTGATTGAACTGTGTGTCGTCTGTCTTCAAAGAGATTTTATTACGTTTATGACTTTTAGGCTTACTGTCTTATTCTTTTTTTCTTCTAAGGAAGATAATGGTGTGAAGCTGGTGGATCCTCTTGGGGAAATGCTGCACCCTTCCTGGGAAGAGTATGCCACGCAACTCGCAAATGCAGAGGAGAAGGAATTACAGAAAATAATAACTGAGATCTGCCAAAAAGCAGCAGTGAACCAGCACAAAGATGCTTCAGTTTTTATTGGTAGAGACACCAGGTAGTTACAAAATGCTGTAGACGGGTGCTGCTTTTGTGGAAGTGTCAGTGTGTCCTTGGGTGCTTTTGGTTGTTTAGCCCTCCACAACCAGATTATGTTGGTTTTTTTTTTAATGCCTACTCTGCTACCTGTTTATTTATGATGATAGCAATAAACAGAAGTTTTCCAGTGCTGTTCCCTGTATCAGTTTCCCTGATAGTTATGGCAACTTCTCAGCACTGTTTCTGAACAGGGCGCTTTACTGGGGGTTTGGTTGGCTGGGGTGTTTTTGTGGGTGCTGTGTGTTGTCCCCGTGTGTTCAGCAGCTTCCTTGGCTTTGCAATCCTCTGGGGTGGTGGCTTTCAAACTTCTTTATTGGGAGGCCCCTACGATAGGAAAAGGTGTGGTTTTCTTCATATTGAATCTAAGCCTACTGGCAGGAAGCTTGTAGGGTCTTCTGCCGTACGTGCTTCCCTCCCAAGTCCACATAAAATCTTTGCAGAAGATGTTGATCAGTTGTATTTGTTGTTTTCCAGGCCCAGCAGTGAGAAACTTTCACAGTCAGTAATAGATGGGATCTCTGTTCTAGGTGGTCAGTACCACGGTATGTTAAACTTTGCAGTTCTGGTCTGATTTCATGTTTTTATGTAACTGTGACTCTGTTATGTAGACCTAAAGCAGTAGCCCAGACACCATTTCCCTTTTTGCTAGTAACGCTTCTTTCAGAGTAGTTGTATGGCTTTAATGCAAGGTGGGGAGGGGATGCATCTTTTCATGACAGAACCTGAAAAATTTCATACGAGTTTCCTGCACTGCATCTGTCTGTTTATTGTAGTACTCAGTAAACAACACAGCAAATACTGTACAACTTTTAAGGATGACTTAATTTAGTATTCTGTTTCTGAATATTGTGCCTTTGATTTTATGCTAGATTATGGTCTGGTGACAACGCCACAGCTACATTACTTGGTGTGCTGTCAGAACACACAAGGGCAGTATGGGAAGGCAACGCTGGAAGGTTATTACGAAAAACTATCTGGAGCTTTTACGAAACTGATAGAACAGGTGAGTACTGGGTGTTGTCATCTTCGTGCAAACATGCAGAATGAATTTCTTCTGTTTGTTAGCCTGTTTGGGTCTGAAGTTCTGAATTCAGCATGCCTCTAGGTGTGGTTTCACTAGGGTATGAGTTCACTTTGCCCCTTCTTCCCTTGTGTTAAGTCTCCCAGCTCTGAAGAGAGCCAGAGGCACCTGAAGATTGACTGTGCCAATGGAATAGGAGCGCTGAAACTCTCAGAAATGAAGCCCTACTTTCCAAAGGAGGTGGTAATTCACCTGTATAATGATGGGACCAAGGAGAAACTCAATTACTTATGTGGTGCAGATTTTGTGAAAGTTCACCAGAAGCCCCCTAGAGGTACGCAGTTGGTGATTTTATATCCTTTTACCTCCTCTCCAGATCTGAGAGTGTGGGGTCTTAACAACAGGGTGTCATCTTTGGATAAGCTGAGCTCCCTGTTTCTTACTAAGTGAGAGCTTGAATGGTTCTGCCTCCACAATGGGAAGAGAGAATCTTATGGCTGGGTTTGGCACCTCCCTAGTTTATGTTAGTCTGTGTTTTTTGGAGGGATACAGTATGGCTCCAACGGAGTGAAATATGTTTGGCAGTCTGAATGTTAGGCTGGTGGATTCCAGAGATCAGTCAGGACTGGCTTAGTGTTATTTACTTTACTTCCCTTTATGTTATCAAGAAACATTTACATTGTGGGCTGGGGCTGCAGACACTTTTCCGGGTTCCTGAGGAAGAGCTGAGGCAATTAACGGCTTGGTGCCAGCACTGATTGACTGACATAAACCAGTGAGGAAATTATTTCAACCAATTTCCTGCAAAGCACATAAAAGAAAATCCCTGAACTGGAGGAGCAGGCTAGTTTGGATATTTGGTTATTTGAGGCTAAGCTGGGTTCTCCATTTGACAGCTGCACCCTCACTGCAACTGCTGGCCAAAACCACCACGTACGGTGTCATTTCCCCCTTGCCGTGCTGCTTGTGTGCTGGACAAATGTAGGAAGGGGAGCAGCACAGCAACCATCCCTGCCAGGGATGGATGCTGATGGGACACATCCGGATCCTGGCTTTGGCTGGAACTGAGGGGAGGCTCCTTGGTTGTTTCCATGCAGAGATGTGCTCTGAAAAGAAAATGTGGTTTCCTAATTGATCACTGAAGTAAATGATCTGGTTTCTCTGAAGTATCAAGCAGTAACAGCTTCCTGTTTAAAGTCATAGGGAGCCTCAGCCTGCTAAATGTTGCGGTTTAGCTTGAGGACCCCAACAGCAGTGAGACTTGTTGTCCTGTGTCACTAGAGGCATGCAGGAGAAGAAATTTGGGGTGTCTCCTGTGCTCTGAAAGACGATGTGTCAGCAACATCAGCCAGTTTTTCTGTCTGCTTGTGCACTAAAAAGTGTTTTTCCAAGAAGTTACAGGATGCAGCGTGTCTGTCATCAGCCTAGGGAATGGCCAGCTTTGTTTCTGAGACATGGACTCTGCTTAATGTGGCCGGCATCTTAAAGAAAAGCAGGATGTGCTGTAATAAAA